AGTTACTATGCAGCAAATCTCTAAACCTCAGGTTCCTCATAGGAAAAATGGGTTTAATAATTCTTGTTTACAGGACTACTGAGAGACTGGTGGGATGAAATTAGAATTTTGTGGGTATACTTTACAATTCTCAAAACACTTTACTACTTCAAACTAATGTTATTAGCATTCTTCATATTTAAAAATTTAAAAAAATATTTGGCAAAGTAAATTACTAGCTCCAAATAGAAATTCTGTGATCATTTGATGTTTCAGTAGGCTAGAGTGAGTATTTCATGTATATGTTTTGTAGGTCTGGGCAGGCAGTGTTTCTGAGGCTTATAGAGCACTTGGTAATTGCCGTAACACTGAGAAGAATCCTGTCTGAAGGTGTCTATTAAAATCTTCATTTCAGGGTATCAGTTATACACAAAGCCACAGCCTGACCAAGCTGAAATAGGAGCATGAGAATTGAAGAAAAACTCCACCAGCTTACTTAGATGTAGCTTCTTGCATCTTGTAATGTCCTCCATCCCAAACACTTGGAGTAACTGTAGGATCAAACTGATGGGTGTATCTGGGTTCCCCACCCAAGGGAGAAGTTGCTTGTTTCATAGAGTTTCTCCCTTTGTACAGAGCATTTTGAGGAAAGATGGAATGGTTGTCAACTGCAAGGGAATTCACTTTACACAAATGACACCACCAAACAGCAAGACCTATGTATGTATGGGACCTGCCCCCGCCCCCCGCCTCCCCCGAACCATCTACAGGTACAGTGATAGTCTAACGACAAGAATGTGTGACAAAGGCAATGGAGGATGTGATTTTTCTCAGGCCATAGTTGGGGTGGGCAGCAGGATAAAAGATTAATAGCAAATGTATCTTCCCCAGGTATTACAAAGATCTTGAAACATAGCTACTCCTCTCAGAGAGAAAGACTTGTATCAATTCATCGGTTGATACATTTTACTAATTATCCACCTTGTTAAGTCTTCCTGTTAGGTACTATTAAGGAGGTATGGCTATAGGATAAGCACTTGACTGCAATGTTGGTTTGAGCCATAAGGTCGATGGTTCAAATCCACCAGCAGCTCCTCAGAAACCCGATACAGGGTCGCTATGTGTGGGAATTGACTCCCCGGCACTTAATAACCACAACAAAAGTGTTTGCAACATTGTCCAGGAGCTCTTATTTTAGTTGAAAAGATAAGACAGTTCCAACTCAGTGTTAATTTTTAGTGTGCTTACCTCTGATAGGTCCAGAATTGAAGTAGACTTTCAATATTGACCTCCTTATTGATTTTGTCAGGAATAAGTACCAATTTTAGAAAAATAAAACAACCTTTGGCTGTACTTCCTTTCACTAAACTCACTTAAGGAGGGGACTGTGAAACCACTAGCTCTGTATTTGAAGCTTTGATGCCCTTTTCTGTTGTTAAAACTACATTTCTAAACAAATAATCATGGGCCAGAGTGCCTTCTCTTCCTTAGTGGAATTCTCCCTTCCCCCACTGACATTTTCCCACGTTCACTTAGCTTCTTTCTCTCTTTTTTCCCTCCCCTCACACACACAAATCCAGACGCACACCTTCCCACCACACACCCATATGCAAAATAAAATTAGAAATACCACCCAACTTTCAAGGTATTTAGGGAATGGAGATCTTCAATCAGAATAATCTAAGCCAAATCACTCACTCCAGGTTCCCTCCCTCCCAAGCCAGTGTGAGAAGCAGGCAGTAGCTTTTGAGATTTCGACATTTGTTCTCCCTGTGTCTATTCTGTGGCATGGCGTTCTTTACATATATGTGATTTCCTTTCAGAACACAAAAATATTTCCTGGCCCCCTTTTTATTGAGATGCACACTGCTAAAATGCAGAGAAAACAGCTTCTGGTGGTTCAAAAATAGAGGCTGAGTTGATAAGCATATGGCCCTCATTTCCAGGGATTGCTCCCGCTTTAATCAACTGGTTGAGAAAACAATCAACAATTATTTGTCTATTATGTTTACCTTCACTATTGTGTTCACCTTCACTGAGAGTAGAACAGGGTAGCTAGAAAACTGAGGACCGTGATGGCACTAATATTTCTGCAGTGCTGCTAAGGTGTTGTCTGCCAGTTCCCATTTGATGGGCACCACCTTCTTGGGTGCCCATCTCAGAGCAGTGGAACTGGAGAAGAGGAAGGGAATATGAACAAGGAGATGGGGGTAAAGCTCCAGGCAGAAGCTCCTGATCAAGAGTCTAGATAAACTCCTTCTTGTCCTCCCTTCTCCCATATCAGTGCTTTCTCTGAGTCTCACGATGACAGTGTGTTGTTGTAGAAACTGAGCACAGGAACACAGTGCTAGAACTGGACTCAAATCTAGACTCCATCCCCTACCTGTTAGATGACCTTGGGCACATAGCAGTGTTTCTGAGCCTCAACCTCCTCTTCTGTAAGATGGGGGGATCCTCAAACTTTCCATATTATATAGCTTACTATCGTGGTTCACCAGGTGCAGGCTTTATTGAAGGCCTTTGCATACATTTTCATTCCATTCTCACATCTCTGCTTCCCAAATGTGGAATCCAAGATCACACAGTGGAGAATGGTGGTCATTCAAATCCAAGAAGACACTCCAGAGTTTGGATCTCAGTCCCTCAGTGCATAGCCCCTCTGAGGAGATGACAGTGGTCTCCATGGGTGTTGCCCCTGAGAAGCTGAGCTTCTAAACCCCCAGGTTCCCCTCGCTTGGAGCTTAAAGCAGGGAGGACCGTTGGCTAGAGAGAGCAGGGAAGGTGACAATGATAACCAGAGCACCCACATCAGGGCTGCACCCCCAGTTGGAACCAGCGGCTGAAGTCAGACAGGGTGCCCCAGCGCGCTCCAGAGAAACCGAGAACGGGGGCGGGGTGAGGTGTGTGTGTGGGGGGGGGTGGAACACAAGGGGTGACCAGAGCACCGCCCCCAGGAGGGAGGGGAGGGGTGACGGGGCTGGGGGTGCCCAGCTGCTAGCCCCGCTACCTCCTGGCCCGCACTCGCTGATGCCCGATTGGGAGGACGGCAGCTGCCCGCTGCCTCCTCCTCACACCCCCGCTACCTGTCCAGTCCCCGAAGCGAAGCTTAAGGAGGCAGCGAACCAACCGGGCCGAGCCCACAACTTTGCAGCATTGAGGAAGGCGAGTGCCGGCGTCCAGAGCTCCTCTTGTCGGCGAGCAAAGCTCGGTGAGTTCCTTTCCCCAGCCCTGTGCAGCGGTGCGGCGGTGGTGTCCGGGGGGCGGTTTCCCAGGCGTCCGGGAAGCGGTGGCCGTGCAGCCAGCGGCCACCAGCACTAGCTGTCTCACTAGGGATTTGGCTGTGCCGCCCTCTGCCGTGGGTAAGGCGGCGGCGGTGCTGAACGGACAGCTCCCCGCTCCCCACTCACTAGTCACCAGCGCCAGGGCGGTCTCGACCGTCCACGCCCAGGCGTACAGCCCCGGCTGCAGCCGCCAGCGGAGAGCCCCTCACTCTCCCAGACCCTGTCCTTCTTCCCGGCGCCGCGGCGCATCTGGAGGCAGCTCCTGCACCCCCCTGGCGACCGACGTGGGGAAGACACTTGCATCTCTAGAGCCCAGAGCTAAGGACTCCCTGGGGTGGGCAGCAGCGCCGCGGACCCCGGGGGCGCATAGCCAAGGCGATGGCGAGCCTCCAGCGACCACCCACGAGCTTGCTTTGCGCTGTGCCCCTGATGCAGAGAGGAACCCGCACTCCTCACTGCAGCCGCGGGTCCCCTGGGGCATTGGCACCTGCTAAGGGGACTCCAAGGTGATCTGCCGTCCAGTCCAGACGGATCGGCCTAGACGGAGGCCCTGTGGCATCCGCCCACCCTGGGCACAACCGCTTTAGTAGAACTTTTCTCGAACCTCTGGATGGCCGACTCCTTAGCCCCTGGAAAAGTTCTCCCGGGTACCCGGAATTCTATTTCTGGGGGCTTTGGAAACTGGGCAAGACCCGAGACTGCAGGGAACCCGGTAGGATGCGGGATGCGGCGGGGGCTGCTCTTGGCGGCTGGGGCTCTTCCCGAAAAGCAGCCACTCCTGAGCTCAGAAAGGGCTTACCAGCACCGAAAGGGTCTCGTCTCTATGGGGGTTGTTTGGGTTTCTCGCATCTGGAAGGCGGGAGGCAGGCTCGAATGGGGGAATTTCAATTTCGTAGCCTCAAATGAAAACGCTCTTTGCAAAAAAATAAAAATAAAAAATGGCCAGGGCAGCTAGCGTTGGAGAGATGAGCTGACCAGGACTCTTTGATACAGATATTCGGGCTGCATCCCCATCCCACCGGATGCCTGACCATGTGTGTGAATAAATCGATTGTTTTGATTATTTTAGCCAAGTGGCAGTGGCTGTGTGTGTGTGTGTGTTACACACAGACATAGACATAAATAAAGACAGATATCCAGGCGCATACAGATTACACGTAGAGTCAGGCACAAGGAAACACACATACCACATGCACACATACCTTCAGAGAGACGACCCGTGAGGTCCCTGCTCTTTGTCCCTGTGGAGGGGGAATGGTGGTGAAGTGGGGCTTCCAGTAGGTAAAACGGCGTATTTCCCTTTGCTTTTCCCATATCACCCCAAATCCTTGGCCTTCTTCTCCTAGGGGGATCCGAATGAGAAAGCCCAAACTCGTTTCCATGGCCATAGAAGACAGAAGCTCTCGGGGCCGGTCTCCCATCCCCTATTGAGAGAAAACAAGCAACCGCCTTCCTCCTGGTGCCTGACCCAGGGCACCAGGGTGCCAAGGTCGCGCAAAAACCGAAGGAGCTGGTACCCTGAGGTAGGGCCTAGCCCCCGGAGGCCGCTGAGGTCTCGGGGGTCCCACGCCTACTTGACCCCAGGTTAGGGAAGTGGGAGGGGCGAGGGAGAGGGAGGGATGAGGGAGTGAATTTGCGCGGTGCTAGACCGCTGGGCGTCGCAGACGAAGCACTCGACGGCGCCCCCTGTACAACGGTAAGTCTCCCTGTCGCCCTGGCCCCGCAGGAATGTAATCGAGGATGCTGGCCCTTAGGCTGCTCAACGTGGTGGCCCCTGCTTACTTCCTGTGCATCTCCCTGGTGACCTTCGTGCTGCAGCTCTTCCTCTTCCTGCCCAGCATGCGCGAGGACCCTGCAGCTGCCCCTCTCTTCTCACCCGTCTTGCTCCATGGGGCGCTCTTTCTATTCCTTTCTGCCAATGCCCTGGGCAATTACGTCCTGGTCATCCAGAACTCCCCAGACGACCTGGGGGCCTGCGAGGTGACCTCGGCAAGAAGGGCGCCATGCCCCCCGCCCAGCACCCACTTCTGCCGAGTGTGCGCCAGGGTCACCCTGAGGCACGACCACCACTGTTTCTTCACCGGCAACTGCATTGGCAGCAGAAACATGCGCAACTTCATCCTGTTCTGCCTCTACACGTCCCTCGCCTGCCTCTACTCCATGGTAGCCGGCGTGGCCTACATCTCCGCGGTTCTCTCCATCTCCTTCGCCCACCCCCTGGCCTTCCTCACGCTGCTGCCCACCTCCATCAGCCAGTTCTTCTCTGGTGAGTGGCCTTGGCAAGTGGGGTGGGCCCTCTTCAAAGTCCCTCATCTCCATCCTCAAGATTGTTAGGACACCTAGTTTAAGAGGGAATTTCAGGTAAACAACAGGTAGTTTCTTTCGTGTATGTCCCATGCAATTTGGGGGACATCCAACCCATTGTCATCAAGCCCATTGAAACTCAGTGACCCTATAGAACAGAGGAGAACTGACTCAAGCTGTACTGAAACTGTGTGCTAAGCAATAGGCTGCTAACCAGAAAGTCAGTGGTTCAAACCCAGCAGCCTCTCCGAAGGAGAAACATAATTTCCTAAAGCTTTGCAGTCATAGAAACTCTAAGGAGCAATTCAACTGTGTCCTCTCCAGGGTTTTTATGAGTCAGAATTGATCCAATGGCAGTGGGTTCAGCTTTAGGTTTGTTTTTAATCGTTCCAGAAGCACATGGCTACATTTGTCTCTCGTGGAACAGCTAGTGGGTTCAAACCACTGACCTTTCAGTTAGCAGTCAAGCTCTTAGCCACAGCACCACCAGGGCATCTATTTGGACTATACTTATACTGAAAATGTATACATTGTCTCCCTGAAATTCAAATTCAATTAGGTGTGCTATGTTATCTGGTGAACATCACCCACCCATCTGTCATCTCCTCCTTGTTCCCTCATAGAATTGTGGTGATCCAGGCTATACATTTACTATGTGCCAAGTGGGGCTGGGTGCTGGCCATCCTGCCATGCACCCCTGTGAGGTATGCCCTGGCTATGACTCTCTTCTGCCTGGACCCCAATCCCGCTTATATATTTCCCCAAATCTTAGCTTTCCAAAGGTCTTGCCAACCCCCACAGGCAGGTTAAACATGGTGAAGCGCCCCCCTTCTCCACTTCTGCCTACTCTGTTTGCCTCTACCAGGCTCTTCTCCAGCCTGAAGATGGCTCATACATAGAACAAGAGGCACTCTGAGCTGCTGCCATGTTTTAATGTCTCCATCTCCACCCCAAAGAACGTGGGACTGGTATGGGACCAGACCCTCTAAGAGGCTCTTAAACCTGCATTTGCTAGGCACTAGAGACACCGCAGAGTGCTCAGCTGGGCGCCCTGGCAAGGGTTGTGTTTTGTGCAGCATGCCCCACAGAGTGATCTCTGATAACTGGCCTTATGGGAACCCAGCTCCTGGTAGCAATTCTTGTCACTTTACCTGGCCTTGCAATTTCCCCCTATCTCATTTCCTTCCACTTCCTCCCCACCCTGGCCTTTGACTGACTTGGTCTCACAACAAGTGACATATGTGTGTGTGTAAATTCTTACCCCCATCTTTCAGACAAGGAAACTGAGTCTCAGATGGAAGTCAATGTCTTGCCCAAGATCATACTACTACTGAGTAACAATGTCTGACATACCCCTAGGTTTTACGCCATAGTCTGATGCCTTTCCTCAATAGCTAGCAAATACAACAAGCTCATTCATTCCCTTGCCTTCCAGGGACAAAGGCAGACAGGGTGCAACCACTTGCACTGAGACCCCAGTATTATCTTGATGTGCCTAGGCTGGGCATTCATAAAAAGTCTGCTCTGCTCTGGGGGAAACCGTGGATCACGTTGGTCTTTGCTGGGGCTGTCGTGATTTTTTGCAGCCCAGTTCTTCCCAGGCATAGAACTGTTATGCCATTTGGCAGTGAGAACAGAGAGGCACAGGAAGGTCCCAGCTATGGGGGTTGCCTTGAGCAATGGTGGTTCAGCTGGGCCCAGAACTCACAGTTCTCAGATCTTCTGGATCTGGGTGCTGGGACCAAAATAACCAGGACGGGAGAGGGTGGATGGGTGGGCTAGGGGGTGGGGTGTGAGCACAGGCAGGTGGAGGAATGAGGAGAGCCAGAAAGCTTGATTCAACTTTTTTTTGCCAAGTAGTTGCAAAGAGAGAATCTGAAAATGATTTGATGTGTGGTATTCCTGTCCATATGTCAAATTGGGGGGGGGGGGCAGGGCAGGAAAGAAAGGAAAAGGACTTCTTGCTGATGAGAAAACAGATCAGTCTGTGCCTACCACTGTCCAATAGAAGTAAGGAGTCCCCCTATCCTTTGCCACTAAGAAAAGGAGGCCAAGATTTCTCATCAACTCACCTATCTTGTCTTCCTCCTTTGCCAACCTTTCTTCTTTCTCTGACCAATTTTCCATCTCACTCCCCACACACCCACTCCACATTCACCCCACCTGCTGAGTTTCCCCCACTTGTCTCTTCTTCCCCAATCCTCAGTCCAATTGGTTAAGGGAACCCTGTCTCTCATCTCCCCAGGAAGACAGGTAGACAAGAGGGAGTGAGAAAAGCACATATTATGTTGTAGAAATTGAGTATCCTTAGCCAAGAACTGCCCCTGAGTCAGAGTGTCTGTCAACACCTAGTATGGTTTGAGTATGGGCCCTGCAAGCTAGAAGTGAAGCAGCATCTTCTAAAGTGGAGGTGGCCACTGACCATAGACACCTTGGCTGATGTCAAAATGTAGGGGACTCACTAATTAGATTTTAGAAGTGTCTCCTCTTTTGGCTTTGTGTGATCAGTATGGTTTGTGTCACCTCTCTGAACTTCAGTCTTCTCATCTAATCACTGGAAATGACACCATCTAGCCTGTATCATGGCCGTTGGATAAGGGCAGAATGGTGGAGACCACTGGAAAGCCCAACAGGTGGAAAAGGGGACGAGCATTAGATGAACATATTTTGTACGCCACCCACTGCACAGATCTCAGTCCATCCAATCCTCACTATAGGTTTGTGAAGTAGATGCTGTCAGGTCCATTTTAAAGATGAAGACTCAGAGACTCAGTAACAACAAGTTGCTTCAAAACCACACAGCTTTTCCAACCTAAGAGTTGCACTTTAAAGTTCACGCTTTTTCCATTGCACCATGCTTCCTCTCTGGAGCTCTGGCTGGAGCTGCGTCCTAGTGAATGACCCATCTAGGGAGGGAAGGAACTTCCTGTCCCTAGATGCATAAAAGAAGATGCTGTCAAAAGTGCTGTAGGTGCTTGGTGGGAGGCAGGGAGAGGGGAGGTTAGCCTCCTAGGAAGAGTCTCTATTTTCTAAAAGAAGCTTAACTGTTATTAAATAGTTTAGAGGTGCCATGGCAGCCAGGCTAGGCAACTTCAAACACCTCAAGAAAAAGCAGGTCCCAGAATAGCCTTTTGTAACGGCTGCATGGGGCCAGAAAAAGACCGGAAAGGTCTTCCTCGTGCCTTGATTTAATGCCAGCAAAGAAGCCTGTGGGAAACAGCTTCCATCGACTCAACCTCATCCCTGGGGCTGAGTTGCAAGGCAGGTCCACACTTGGCAGCTCTGATGCTTCACATCCCTGCTCAAGGCCGTCTGTGTCTGTCAGCATTCATTGAGCCCAAAGGGCAGCTGGCCCTCCATCCCGCACATACCATCCAGCTCACCTGTGCAGACCAGGAAGAAGTGGGTCAGAGGAATGGCACAGCCCATACCTGCACAGAAGCTGCTCTAAATGCCAACTGGAGTGAGCTTTGTAGCCCCTGGGCCTCTGGACTTATTTGTCTCGAACTCTGCCAAGAGAAAACTGCTATCAAAGCTCTCAGTGATGAGGGCAAGAGGAGGTGGCTACTGAGCAAGCCTGAACCAGGTCTTCATCCTCTCTAGTTACAGAATCCATTTGCTACTCAGGCTGGACAAGTTTTAAAAGCCCAGCCCCACCAGGGTCTGGAAATTGGAGCCTGGGGAGACCATGGAAGAGATGGGCTAGTGGAAGCTACGGAGATGACAGTATATGGTAGAGCTTTGAAGTCACTACAATTATACTCATGCACACATGAGCAAACTGCAGCTCAGAGAGGTTAAGAAACTTGTGCAGGTCCACACGGCTGGAAAATTCAAACTTAGCATGGTCCGACCACTCAAACTTTGAAGGAGAGAGTGGGATCCGTTACTGAGTAGATGTTTACACCCAGTATTGGAGAATGTTTGGTTCAGAGAGCTTTAGCCCAAGGTAGAGGGCTAGACTGCATGACCTTGCAGCCTTAGAAAGCTCTGGCGAATAGATCAGTTTTGGCCTAACGTTCTGATGGTCACATTGTCCTCGTGTTAACATTAATGACTGAATTATTTTTTAAGCCAGTGCTCTGCACTGCCCTTGAGGCCAAGCTGGTAAATGATTCTTCTTGATGCTTTTCATCATCTTGTCACTTTCCTGAGTCCTCCCAGCCAGTGCTCCTCAGTAGAAGGTGCTGCAGTCAAGACAGTTACCTCGCATTGGTTACTTCTTAAGGATCCCCAACTGACACTTCTTTCCTGAGAAAGGCTCCTTCTCCCTGCTTCTAGCGCAGAAAAAGCCGACAGGCAGATGGGCTTCTCTGACTCTACTCAGCATCTAGGTGCAGCCCAGGGAAGCTGAGGGCTCTCCTTGCTGAGCTCATCAAGATCCTCCCCTCTCTCCTGCAGCATCCCGTTCCCCTCTGGCCTCAGGAGCCATTAGAGTTAGGGCAACTAGTTCATCTTCCTCCCTCTCCCTGCAGCACTGAGATTGCTACAAAAAGTGGCTCTCATCTCATCCATCTCCCTCCCTCCTGAGGAAAGCGCCTGCCTGGATCGTGTTTCTGGTGTTTCTGTACGTGGCCTGGGTGTAAAGTGAGTTTGGTGTCTCCATCCCCACCCCCCTACAGGAGCTGTCCTCGGTTCTGAAATGTTTGTCATCCTCATGCTCTACCTTTGGTTTGCCATTGGCCTGGCCTGCGCTGGCTTCTGCTGCCACCAGCTGCTGTTGATCCTCCGGGGACAGACCAGGCACCAGGTGCGAAAAGGGGTGGTGGTGCGGGCTCGGCCCTGGCGCAAGAACTTACAGGAGGTCTTTGGGAAGAGGTGGCTGCTGGGCCTGCTTGTCCCCATGTTCAACGTTGGAAGCGAGAACGCCAAGCAGCAGGACAAGTAGCAGGCCCTCCCTCCTATCATCTCTCTTTCTCTGTGTGTCATTACTCCTCCTGAACATAAGATCACACACCCTTGAATCCACCTATGACCCACACAACCTCGGGCTGGTAAGATCTCAGTGTCCATCCCAGTCTATGATCCATAGAAAACATTAATGGCTGGTGGATCATGACAAGGAGGAAAAATGCTAACTTAGGCATTGCTAGGTTCCCCACAGGACAACTAGGAGGGTGCTCACTTTTACGAGGCCTCTGCTGTTGTTTCTTCTCTTTGGGAGTCCCCCCCTCTGCCTGGTTCATCCACTCTCTAGCAGGTCTGATGTCATCACTGCTGTCTGCTAGAGCCCTTCCTCTCAGACACTATGCTGAGAGTGGGGAGCAGCCATGGATTCTGTTCCTGGTAGGAGGCCCTCCCAGACCTGGAGACTGGCAAAAAGTGCTTAGAATGATCACATTTAAGAAGCAGCCAAGTCACCCTTGCCAACTGCTAAGAAGTTGAGACAGAAGGGTGTGTCCTCTGTGGAACTGAGGGCATTGACAGGCACGAGAGCAAAGTAGCCTGCTGACAACCTCCCCACCACCAGCCAAGTTGCAGAGCACTTTCTCTGGGAGAAGGCTCCATTAGCCAAGTATTTCTAGCTACTGCCCCTGTCCACCCTGCCTCGGTAGCCACTCCAGCCCAGTCTAGCACCAGACTGAGCACTTGCTTGCCCTGACACTCTTCCAGGCTTTCTCCTTGGTCTCCAGTCTCCAAATCTTTTCTGGGAAGGAAGGGCAGGAAGGAGGGAGAACTAGGGGAAGCATGTGAATGTAGCATGTATAGAAGGAAAAGGATGGTGTGTATATGAGTGTGAGAGAGAAGACAGAGGTGGGTGGTGAGGAGTGTGTTCTAGATATAAAGAAAGAGGGAGAGGGCTACACAGAGGCTGGGTATCTGGGGAACGGGAAGCAGGAGAAGCAAATGAGTTCATGTCTGCCCTGTCTGTTGTGACGCTGTGGGTTAATGCGCTGGACTGAAAAGTCAGTTTGAACAGCAAGGTCAGCAGTTCAAGCTCACCAGTCATTCCTCAGAAGTCCTATATAGGATTGCCATGGGTTGGAATAGACTAAACAGCACCTAACAACAACAATAGCTAACATGGTTCAGTATTGAAATGGATGCCTGGAGAGATGCAAGGGCCCAATGCCACTTACTAGGGGTATCCCAGCAGGGCCTGGGCAGTCATCTGCCAGACATGTCCTGTAAGGGATTTCTGCTCTGTGTTGGTGGCCTACTCAAGCTTGGAGATATCGTCTCACCCTGAGATTCTGGCATCCTTGTCACAATTCCAGGCTCAGAGGCAAGCTCTGCAGAGATGCCTGTGAGTTATTTGGTTGATAATGCAAACTTTCAGGACCCAACCCAGCATGGGGGAGAGTCTAGAGAGACGATTACCTGGATGTTAATGGTAGTATTGTTGTTGTTGTTAAGTGCCATCAAGTCAATTCCGACCCATAACAACCCTGTATAGGGTTTCCGAGGAGCAGCTGGTGAGTTTGAATTGCCGACCTTGCAGTTCAAATGACTTTGCATTCTGACACGTTAACCCACAGAGAATTTAAGGACAAGGAGATGGAGCGGTGTCAGGGTCAGATGGGGGCAGTAGTGGGGAGAGAGAAGCCAGAAGAAAGTGAAACTCAGCTCTGAGGGGAACATTGAGGCTGAGCAATGGGGATACCAAATCTAGGCGTGCCACTGACAGACATCCCTGCTCATCTGACTGGCTCTGGATGGGGCACTGCTATAGATCCCGATCCCCGGACATATGAGAGACAACACATGCACCTCCACTGTGACTGGATCCCAAGGCTAGCTTGCTATCTTTGCAGGAAGCAGGGCTGAAGTCCACACCCCTACAGTGTCCAGGGAATGGTCACAGTGACCCCAACAGTTGCCACACAACATCCTGAGTTCAGACAAAAGATGAAGGACCTTACCTCATCCTGCCTTCACGCCCCCTAGAGGGCTAATGTGGTAATGACTTGACTCGCTTATATTGCTCCCTTGCACGTATTCTATCCATTCATTCATCCACCCTACATCTATTTATTGGGTGCCAACTACGTGCCAAGTCCTTTTCAGTCACTAGTGATACCATGGCAAACAAGAGGGTGAGATCTGCATCATCAGGGGCACATTCTTTGTCACAGGCCCTAACTTCCACCCCTTGAAAAGTGATGACTGTTATTTTGATGGTCAGCAGGGGTCGCTAGGGAAGGACTTGGCAGAGAGGAATGAAAGGGAGTCCACACTGTTACTTAAAAAGCCTTGATGGATGAGTGATGAGGGACTCCCCCACCCCAATTCTGGCCATTCTTAAGCAACCCACACCTCAAGGAGGAAGGGGAGAGAAAGGTCTCAGGGACTCCAGGTCTCAGCCCTCTTCTGAGTCCAGAGTGCAAACTTGGAAGCCATCTTTGACATTCCTAGTGTCATGGAGGTTCAGCAGTGTGAGGTCCATCCAACATGGGGGAGGAGACCAAAGCGAGGCCTGCAGGGGAGTCGGCTCCTGGCTGATTGGTCAGTGGGGGTGAAGCTGGGGAGGCTACCAGGTGCGGGACTTAAATAGCATTTGTCCAGATGGCCTTGTACTGTCAATGAAGAACATTAATAAAATACGTGGTTTTAAATTGGATTTGATGTGATCATCTGGACACTGTGATTGGACTCACGGCCGGTACTCACTGGGATGCACTGATGCCATCATATTGCTGCTGAAATATTTAAAATCAGCATTAAAAATACTTCTGCCCCAGTTGGTATGTAACTATGGTCCAGATTCCTTCAGTGACCCAATCCTCCTGCCCCAGCTGTGCCTGTTTCTCCCCTGGAGCTCCTCACTCACCTTACAACCCAGCAACTAACAGGGTTAATGCCTCGCGTCAGCCTGCATCCCAGCCCTTCAGTCGGGACTGGTCAGGGCTGTGCTGTGTGGTTGGTAAGTATATGAATGTCACCCCTGATTGGCGCAGGCCTCTGGACCTACGGGACCAGGGATGGAGTGTCTAACCTGGTAACTATTTTTCTCCTCTTCCTTCTCCTTCCCCTCCCAGTGTCAGAGGGGAAGAGAATGAGGAGGGGGTCAGTCTACCCCTGCTTCCCAGCCTGAGCTACCAGACCCTGACCATCAGCCAGAGCGCTTGCCCTCTCAGCCCCTACAACATCTGAGACACTGAAGGCCCAGCCCTAGGGACAAATGGGAGAGGGTGGAGCCCCAGAGCCAGTGAGTGAGTTTGGTGTTTGACATAGCCTGGACAGATGGAGGGTACAACTGAAAAGTGCTGGTTCTATTTGGATTCCAGAAGAATCTGAAGCGCAGGCTAATGTGATGACCTGCATTCCCTAATCACAAGCCACCAAGGAGCCCTCAGATGTGCTGGGGAGTGAAAGGTGCTGTGGTTAATCTGCAGCACATTCCAGAGCCCAGGCTGCCCTGGCTGCGCAGGACAGACCCCATGCCTGGCCTGCTCGCCATTGTATCCTCCATGCACACAATACCAGGGGCTCCATCAATACTGAGGGAAGGAATGCTCAGATCTGGTGCTCATTTGCTCACTTTGCACCTCTTCTTACCTGGATGTGCCCCGTGCTGTGATCCACACATTCTGAGGCCAGAAGATGGATAAGATGAGACACTCTGTCCTTGAGGAGGTCACAACCTGGGAGAGGTTCCTCGAGAGTGCGCTAGGGGTGCTCAGAGTGGGGAGAAAGCACAGCTAGTGGCCAAGACCAGGAAGGTTCTATTTCTGCAGGGTCAGCAGGTGGAGAGGGATAGGGGGGCTGTCCAGAGAGAGAGCACAGGCCTGGAGCCTCAGGGTAATCAGAGAGAGGCAGATGGAGTTGAGGCTGAGTGGGGACCCAAGCAGACAGGGCTTTGAAAGCTAGGCTAAGATGTCTGAAGTTAATTTCACAGGCAATAGGGAGCCACCGAAGGAGTCGGAGCAAGGGAGTGACATGAATAGAGCTAGATTTCAGACACTGAAACCTTGGTGGGTAGACTGGAAGTGGCACAATCTGAAAGTTGAGTGACCAGCTAGAAAGTCCTGGCTATGATCCAAGTGAAATGTAATGAGGGTTTGGGTGGGGATAGTGGCCATGGGCTGGTAAGAAGGGGAAGGGTATCAAAGGTACTTCACAGATAGAGTCAGAGGTGTGCCAGGCACGGGACCCAAGATAGCATGAAAGGTGAGGATGCAAAAATCTTCGTACTTGTTCCGTCAGTATTTACTGCTGAGAACTTACAATGTGCCTTCTTGTTGCTGTTAAGTGCCATCTAATCAGTTCTGACTCATTGCAACCCTGTGTATAGTTCCCTGTATTAGTAACCACTGAAACTGTGGTTAGTAGTCCATTGCTTATTTCACAGCACCACACCAAAACCCCACAATGTGCTTAGCTGTTGTTGTTAGGAGCTATCAAGTTGGCTCCAACTCATAGCGACCCTGTGCACAACAGAATGAAACACTGTCTGATTCTCACCATCCATCCTCAAAATTGTTGCTAAGCTTGAGCACACTGCTGCTGCCTTAGTACCGATCCATCTAGTTGGAGATCTCCCTCTTTGCCACTGACCCTCCACTTTATCAAGCATGATGTCCTTCTCCAGGGTACTAGTCTCTCCTAATAACATGTCCGAAGTATGAGAGACAATGTCCTGCCATCCTACCTTCTAAGGAGTATTGTACTTCTTCCAACATAGATTTGCTTGTTTTTTTGGCAGTCCATGTTACTTTTTATATTCTTATCCAACACCGTAATTCAAATGCATCAATTCTTCTACAGTCTTTCTAATTCATTATCCAACTTTCACATGCATATGAGGCTATTGAAAACACAATGGCTTGGGTCAGATGCACCTCAGTCCTCAAACTGTTATCTTTGTTCTTGAATAGTTAAAGAAGTCTTGTGCAGCAGATCTGCCCAGTGCAGTACATCATTTGGTTTCTTGATTGCTGTTTCTAT